AAAGGGCGGGGGAGAGACTCCACTTCCCAGAAGCCTCTCGTTACCCACGCAGCCGCAGTCTTGCGCAGGCGCCGCCAGGGCCAAACGGACAAGTCCGTCACGTGGCCAGTAGCCGGCCAATCCGGTTTGAATCTCATTTTTTTCCTCTCTCACCCCCCCTTCTGGAGCGGTTGTGCGATCAGATCGATCTAAGATGGCGACTGTCGAACCGGTGAGTATTGCCTTTAGCCCCCACCCCCACGGGTCCCCGCGCTCCGTCTCTCTTCCGACTGGGGGAGTCCACGGGACTGCGTTCCCGGCGCGCACCCTACCCCTTGCCGCCCCCTCCCCCTCATGTTGGACCTGAACTCCCACGGACAAGTGGGGAGGTCCTGGAGGCTGGCCGAGGCGGCGTGTAGCGCACACTTTCTGGTGGGGGCCCGAGAGCTGGGGGAGCGGTGTGGGGGAGGGGCGGCGTGGCGCCTCCCGTGGAGCCGCGAGGTATCTACAGGGTGGAGGGTAGCCGGGGCTCTGTGTTAGGTGTGTGGGGATGGTGTCTTCGTGATCGCGGGGCGCGGGGCCGGCTCCCAGCGAGCACTGGGATCCGCAGGCAGGGTGGGCGGCGAGCCGGCCAGGAGTGAGTTGGAGGAGGGAGCTCCGGGGCAGCCTTTACCTTCTTCCAGAGCTGCAGCCCCGGGGCTCGGATGTGGGGCGCGCGCACGTCTTCCTTAGGCGGGTGGAGTGGGGAGCCGGTGGGCGAGTGTTGCCGGAGGGTGGGTTAGGCGGGAGTGGTGTCGTTGCACGCGCACAGGAGGTTCGACCTCGCCTCGGGGAGTTGAGAGGGGCGAACGCGTGTTAATCCAGCGTGCTGGAGAGTTGGAGGGGTTTGCGCCAGGGGAGGCGAGAAAGGTTTGGGGTGGGGAGGAGGACTCCTGTCTCACGGTCAAGCTCTCCAAGTAGAATTAGGGATGGTGGTGGTGAGAAGGGGTATCACATTGTCCTCGCCCCTCCATGCTTGGGACTGGGCTGTCATGGAGGAGGGAAGGGGGTGGAGCGAGGCCTACTGATCGCTTTAGCCGGTCGGCTAGCCGGCCGGACCTGCTGCGTTTCACACGCGCCGGTCTTCCATTCATTCATCCTTTCCGCGCAGTGCGCACGCCTCAGAGAATGCGAATGGGTCTAGAGCCCTCTGTTCTTCGAGTCTTTATCGCCTGGAAGATTTCTGAGACGCAGTTTATTGGAAATAGAAACTTTTAAATTTACTTTTCCATTTGATTTTTTTTTTCTCTTTATCCATGCTATAGGCTTTCCTTTGAATTTAGGCACCTTCAGTTTTAAACTTAACTGAAGGAAGTTGGTTCCAGAGTAGAAGGTTTGTAGTTACTCTTAAAACAGAGTATTTTTTTCTTATTTTGGTTTGCCAGTACTGGCTCACTGAAACTTCTGGGCCCCTGTTGCCTTTTTAGAAATGACGCAGCTAAGTGACAGTGTCTTGGGTGCATAATGGAGTTTATTAGCAATCAGAAAACCTTTCACACTCTGGAACCAGCTAGAACTTGGTTGCCAGATGCTTTTGTGTGCCTTTCACACTCTGGAACCAGCTAGAACTTGGTTGCCAGATACTTTTGTGTGTCTTTTAATGGTAGCCTGTGGTTTTGCTAATGGTTTACCAGTTTGCTTTGACTTTTAAAGACTTATAAAACGATTTCAAAAACTCTTATAGACTACACAGAGGCTTATTTTTCATTGTGTTGGTGTAAATTCTTATCTTGTCAGAATTTAAGGCAGCTTTTCTGCTTGCTTACTTTTTTTATTATTGGCACCAGTTTTCTTTTATGTTCCTGGGAATTAGATTGACTGAAAAACTCTTTAAGTTGTTGATATAGTTAAGTGACTAGGACATTAATGCTACATAACACTAATGAAGGATAAGTATGTAAAACGTAAATGTTAAACCCTTTTGACAGGTTCTGATGTCCACTTTTGACTAGATCTCTTCCTACCCCACTATACTGGTGTCAGTACAAAGCATTACATGTGGTAATAGGGGCAAGGCTACAAGTCTGTAAACTACAAAACAGTAATAAATTCTGTTAAGTTTCTGTCACATTGAAGTCCCTTGGATTTTGCAGAGTTTATGCAGTTTTGTTTCAGCAGCACAGAACAGAACTACAAAGTGATCAAGGACTATTTTGAGCTAGTAAATATTAAAAGCTCCTGATATATCCAAGGTCTTGTACCAAGTGTTCTTTAGGATACAAAGTGATATAAGATGTGACTCTATACCTTGTTGAATGTAAATTCTTAAGGAGCTTAATTCCTAGGGATGTGGTCAGTGATACATTATTTGTTCTGGTGCAGACTGGGAGATTTGGATGGTACGTTTAAATTTGGGGACTAGGATAGGGGAACCTAAAAACAAAGTGCGTGAAGGTGGAAACTAAAGTATTTTGATAATGTATATAAAATAGTATCAAAATGTTTATTTTCAGTGGGAAATGAAAATTTTTAGTACTTTTAATGTACCCTTGTCCACAGGCTAGTTATGTAGAATTATTTTTGGCAGTTTTAAATAGTTGGATTTTGTGTGTAGCGGGGGTGCAGGATCTTTCTCTGTTACTGGGGCTGGAGTGCAGTGGTGTGATCCTGGGCTCAAGAGATGCTCGCATCTCAGCCTCTTGTGTAGCAAGAACTACAGGCGCTGGCCACCATGCCCAGGCCACCACGCCTGGATAATTTTTAAATTTTTTGTGGAGATGGAATCTGGTGATGGTTACCCAGGCTGGTCTCAAGCTCCTGAACTAAAGTGATTCTCCCACCTTGGCGTCTCAAAGTGTTGGAATTACAGGTGTGAACCACCAAGCCTGGCCTGGATTTATTTTTGAAGCAACTGGTAAGAATTGGATTGTACTTGAGGTACCCCCGCTGAAGCCTGCTAAAGTCATGCTTTTTGTTACTTCAGCAAGCATGTGAGCTTCCATAATGCTTTTCTGCTGTGCGTAATCATAAACACTTAAAAAGAGCCATGGGTTTTTCCTGCCTATCCCATTATTCATAGGTATCGGATGATTTTTTTTCCATGGACATGACATAAAGTATTTTCAGCTTGATATTGTTGTGTGTTTTCTTTGTATGAGTTCAGTTACGGAAGATGTGGCCCACAGATATTAGATTTGTTGAGAAGCTTGAAAGGGAAAAACATTTTACATCTTAACAGATAATTTGGCAAAAATTTAAACATCAGGACAAACAATATTCTGCTGTTATTCTATTGGCATTTGAATTGTGACTAGGTTAAAATTAGATTTAATACTAGTGTGTGAAAATGGCAAGGCAGTTTCCTTAGGCCATCTTACCTCTAGTGGATCTTGTTTCTTTGTAGCTTTATATTTATTCTACATCCTTCACTATTAGAATTAAAATTTTTTTTGCAGTTCCTTTTGAGGTAAGAGATTAATTTTGGTTTCTTTAGCTTAACTGAAGGTATATAATTTTTAGCTCTTGAATTTTTTAAAAGTATATTAATTTCATAAGTAAATCAACTTGACAGTCAGCTGATCTAATGCTTCCTTTTTTATACTTTGAAAACATGCTTTGTATTACACAGTTTATTAATAAGAGTAAATAAGGCTTAAATACATATTGACAAATATATGTTGTGCTATTTAATTCATGTTAATGAACTATCGAATGCCAAGCAGACTGCAAATGAATGTTTTTTGTTTTTTTTTTCTTGGTGAAAGAACCCACTATATCAGAGTTCTTCGATAATCCACATAAATTTGGTTCTGGTGTTCCTGTTCCAAATTTCTTCAGTTAAAAGAAAAAACATACCAGCCTGGTGTGGTGGTTCATATCTGTAATCTCAGCATTTTGGGAGGCCCACGCAGGCAAATCACTTGAGGTCAGATGTTCGAGACCAGCCTGGCCAATATGCTGAAACCCCATCTCTACTAAAAATACAAAAATTAGCTAGGCGTGGTGGCAGGCGCCTGTAATCCCAGCTACTGGGGAGGCCAAGGCAGGAGAATTGCTTGTACCTGGAGGTGGAGGTTGCAGTGAGCTGAGATCGCGCCACTGTACTCCAGCCTGGGCGACAGAGTGAAATGTCATCCAAAAAAAAAAAAAAAAAAAAAAAAAAAAAAAAAATATATATATATATATATATATATATATATATGTATGTGTATATATATATATATGTATGTATGTATATATATACATACGTACATACACACACACACACACCAAATTTCACACTTCATTTTATAATCTGAGTTAATGTGCATGATTATTAGACTTAGAGAAATTCAATGTAGACATTCAATTTACACACAGAAGTTGCAGAAGGGATAATATGCAAAATGAATTATGTAAGCTTACTCTCATTTGGACAGAAAACTGTAGGAAAAAACCATTTAAGTAAAATATTGTTTAATTTACATAAAGTTAGGAATATGATAGAAGTACCAGTATCCCTGGACATAACAAGGAACCTGTGAAATGTTCTAGCAATGGTAATTTCTACTTTTTCTTCTCTGCTACCATTGGAAATTTCCTTAATCTGTTAGTACCAATGAGTTGCACCATTTTAGTCAGAGACTTTAGTGAGAAGTGGAAATAAGCATGGGTTATAGTCTTGTTTTAAAATCTGAGTTATCTTGAAGACTGAAATTTCTTAGTTCACCTGGAAGCTAGAATAAAATATCTTACCGTGATTTCAATTTTTAAATGCCATATTCAAAGATAACAGTTTTAAACTATAAGGAACCAGGTAAAGCTGACATTCTATGGCTGTTTTATACTCATATATCCATGTATTTACATATCATTTTCCCTCTTTTCTAGGAATTTCACATCGCTGCTTTTTAATTATCAGCCCTTAACCATTAGCAAGAAAGGCAAAGCCTGTGACTCACAATCCTCAGTTGCTCTCCTATCCCTACCATAAAAATCACTAGTGTTCCTTCATAAGTCCTTAATCATGGCTGCAGGAAAAGAAAGGGGCTGGACTTGGTGGCTCATACATGTAATCCGAGGCTTTGGGAGACGAAGGAGGATCACTTGAGCCCAGGAGTTTGAGACCAGCCTGGGCAACATGGTGAGACCCCAAAAAAGTTAGCTGGATATGGTGGTGTGCACCTGTGTTGCAGCCACCGGCGTGGCTGAGATGGAAGGATCCGTTGAGCCTGGGAGATCAAAACTGCAGTGAGCTGTGATCACATCACTACA